GGAACTCATCACTATACATCAACTTCATTGATTATGAAAAGGCATTTGACAGTGTGGATAGGAGGACGTTATGGAAACTTCTTCGACAATATGGAGTTCCTGAGAAGATTGTCAATATTATCCGGAACTCATACGACGGACTACAGTGCAAAGTAGTGCATGAAGGACAGCTGACAGATGCATTCCAAGTAAAAACCGGAGTCAAACAAGGCTGTTTACTCTCTCTCTTCCTCTTTCTTCTGGTGGTCGACTGGATTATGCAGACCTCAACATCTGAAGGAAAACACGGAATACAATGGACAGCTCAGAATCAATTAGACGATTTGGACTTCGCAGATGACCTAGCCCTCCTATCGCATACACACGAACAGATGCAGATGAAGACAGCCAGTGTAGCAGCAGTCTCTGCATCAGTAGGCCTCAGCATACAAAAAGGGAAAACTAAGGTCCTCAAATTCAAAGCGGAGAACAGCAATCCAATCACTCTTGATGGCGAAACTCTGGAAGATGTAGAGTCCTTCACATACCTGGGAAGCATCATCGATGAACAGGGAGGTTCAGATGCAGATGTAAAGGCAAGGATTGTCAAAGCAAGGACAGCATTCCTACAATTGAAGAACATATGGAACTCAAAACAACTTTCAACTAATATCAAAGTAAGAATCTTCAATACGAACGTCAAGGCAGTTCTACTGTATGGAGCTTAAACTTTGAGAACTACAACAACCACAATCAAGAAAGTACAAGTATTTATAAATAACTGTCTACGCAAGATACTCAACATCCATTGGCCGGATACCATCAGCAATAGCCTTCTGTGGGAGAGAACAAACCAACTTCCAGCTGAAGAAGAAATTAGGAAAAGACGATGGAAATGGATAGGACATACATTACGCAAATCGTCAAACTGCATCACGAGACAAGCCCTAACTTGGAATCCTGAAGGGAAGCGAAAAAGAGGAAGGCCAAAGAACACATTGCGTCAGATAATAGAAGCAGATATGAAAACGATGAATTACAACTGGATGGAGCTAGAAAGGATTGCCCAGGACAGGGTTGGATGGAGAATGCTGGTGAGCGGCCTATGCTCCTTCACGAGGAGTAACAGGAGTAAGTAGGTAAGTAATATAATAAGATAATCATTTAGCGTATCATTATAATCTGTCTTTCAAGCCTTAAAATTTATTTTACCGTATTTCACTGCAAAAGTTACTTAGTCTTATTTTAAGGATTATTTACATCATGGAAGACGATTCACTGAAGAATCATTCAAAGGTGGGAAACACTACAAGGTTGTCTCATTGCACTTAAGGTGTACTTTAAATAGTGAATATTATCAACCTTATAAATTTTTAACTTATTAGTGATTATAATATCATTCAGCCAGCAATTAAAGCAAGTCAATTATATATATATATATATATATATATATATATATATATATATATATATATATATATATGATGGATGATAAAAAGAGTTCCAAGAAGTGAACATTCCTATGATATCAATTATTTATTGAATTATAAACAACGTGTCTTGCAGAATCCTTAGTATTAGCCGAACTCTATCGATCAGATGCCCAGTTATTCACACTTTTAAGTCGAAAATACTGTAAATTACGACCAATGCTAGGTAGTTGAATGTTATTATTGGGAAGATTTAAGTCTATTTTATATGCTAATCAGTACTCCTTAGTAAATCCAATGTGCGATCTTTGAGAAACTGATGTTCACCCCCAAAGATTTTAATTTTTAACCCCAATTATCTTATACTAAATTATTCGGTTATTAAACTACGTAATAGGCATTAGCCATATGAGGAAGAGAAAAAAGTGTCTTCGAGGGGATGATTACCAATAACTTATTGTATATTTTAGTATTCATCATTGTGCAAGAAATAAATATTTGTAAACAATTTTCGGGGCATGCTTTTATGATACGTAAAGTCAATAAATATGCGTTTAAAAGAATAAAATGGAGGATCATTTTCACACGGATGAATACAAAATTAGGTGGAATTATTGTTAATGTGTAGATTTTAAAAAATAATCTAAAACGATATACTGATCGATTTCGTGCGTAAATCCATAAATGATACGAAATTGATACTCGACTTCAGTAAATAGAATCTTATTGTGAGACATAAACGTTTCAGATTTCTTAGTGTATGAACAGAAGGTTAGCTTCACGATAGGTTCGTAAATTCCTTCTGAAAAACAATGACAGGTGGATTTCAATTGTGTTGGAACAGTGGTGCAGTTAAGATAATTGTAGGACTATGTGGAGAACTAACTGAACCTAATAATGTAGACCACCGGATATTAGCAAAATAGTTCAAAAGTATCATACCCTTCATGATACTTAGATGTCTTGAATTCGACCGCTTGTGGCTTTATGGTCATATAATTCTGAGATTATTTAAATTAGAATGAAAACAGCCGTCCAATACTCACAGGTTTTTATTGACGTCAGACAGTAATGAAAACATTATCTTTAATAAAACCGTAACTATTTGATTCCTTAATGATACTATGCTGATTATAATGAAGAATTTGACGATTGAACATATTTTCAGACAAAAGTACAGAAGAGATATATACACTTCTCGTCTATCAATTAGTACGTCTAACTAGTTTGTTTAGACATAATAATGATAATAATAAACATCGAAGTTCAATAACATAAAACATCAATCAAAATAAAATCAGCGTTGATTTTCATTTTAAAAATTATTGTGGATAATACTTTGTTGATGTTTTTCTAAAAAAAAATCAATCTACTTTCTGCCTGAATGTAAAAAAAGATTAGAAAAATACTCCAGGTATTTCCTGGAGTTCTAGTGAGAAGCAGTGATCAGTGGAGTTCAACCGGGTCTGTTGTGAGATATTAACTCACTAAAGATAATGGTGAATGTGTCGCTCAACTTCGTGGATTAGTTGAAGTTAGACATTAACACTGTCGGATGCCGGCTCAGTTGTCTAGAGGTTAAGCGTTAGCGCGAGAGACCGACAGGTCTTGGGTTCGAATCTCGTGAGGCGGGATCGTGGATGTGCATTGTTGAGGAGTCCCATAATAAGACGAAACGGTCGACCAGTGCTTCCAGGTTTCCCATGGTGACCTAGCTTCAATTGACTCATAGTCTCAACTATTAAATGAATGTTTGTTAAAAAATCAAACATTTCATTTTACATCCGTTTATTAAATGGATCTGTATTTTTGAATGTGAAGTGCATGCTAGATAAAAAAGAATTTATGTAAGTTTATTATTGGTTTCGAGCATCATAAGTCTAAATAATTTATTTCGAAATGCAACCATAAATGGGATTGTTTACTGAATATATTTAAAGTGGCTTGGACTTTCACATTATTGTTATCGAAGTACAATGTTCAACGCAAGTGTAAACTCTAGAAAGCGGATGACTCTGAAAAGCTATTTCCCTTTTTATAACGTTATTTATGACTCATCATCACTATACGCCCACAGTTTTATTTTACAAAGTAAATTTACATTTTCTTTTCGGTTTATTGCTTTACTGTATTTGTTCAATAGTTTCAACACTTGACGCTTTATACTAATTGATTAGACACAATTAAAAGCGTGTACTTGATCAATGGAAAAATCGAAATGTTGCAGAAAAAATTAATCGCGTTAATTAGAAACACAATCACGTTTGTTTAAAATGTCAATGAAAACCTACGATCTTTGCAAACTGTATATTCGATTTTTAAGCAAGTCTAGACATTTTTTAAATCTAAAAGTGAAATCATTTTAAATTGTCACCTAAAGGTACTTTGTTAAAGCATGTTGTTAAGAGATTCAAATGCTATCAAGTCGCTCCGTGGCAACTAGTCTTAGTGACTTGACATTGCGTGCATTGTGTTTTGATGTTAAGTGGTTGGACGAAGTCCTGGCGATAACTACCAATTCTCAGTAACCAATTAATGTAGAAATCTCAGTTCTATGAGAAGTCACTCACAACTACAAAAGCCCAGTGGTAACATCTCATAGTGTGAAACTGAGTAGCCAGGGTTACAAGCCACTAAGAAATATCAGTTTCCTCACGACTGCCGGCAAGCCTTTTTGATGAATATCTAAGTTCAGGGTGTTCTGACAATTACCTCCGAAATCTATTTACGAAATGACATTGGATATTTTCGTTTCGTCACTATTTTACACAAACACACAAATATACATACATATTATCATAGATCAAATATTTTGTCTAATATCTCAAGTTCTGCACACTGTTGGTAACCCTTAACTCCAAGATGATTTTTCATTATTAATCTTCAGTTTATCAATATTATGCCAGTATTCTATGGGTTTCGTTGTACTGAAAACTAGTTGACCATCTATTGACTGTTCATTGTCTATTCCAGTTAAGGCTTTCAGAAGCTAAATGTACTTCAGTGCTCGTCGATCAATTAGTCGAGGCATCTCAGTGTTTTTTTCGCCGACTTTATCTATGTTACGAAGTATTTTCATGACAAAAACCTCACTAGTAAATATAGTCCTTAAAATCCATATTTCGTCTGCCAACGACGATGACTAACAATTCCAAATACACCAGATAAACAGGGCTATCAAGGAAAACGTCTTAATCAGATTACTTCTAACTGAAAAATATACTGAGCATACAAATTTGAGTTCTATCCACAAGATATAAAGATCTTGAAAACTAAGAGCTTGTTTTTTAATCTTCCTACTTAACTTGGTCGACTAGAGAATTAAACAAATAGTTCAAAAAGACTAGTTACAATTACAACCACAGAATCAAAAGAGCAGAACGGTGGTAATATAATGTTATATATAACCAATAGATAAGGCCTATATGGAAGCCACAGTGGTTACTAACGTAAATATTTTGATCTTTTTACGATATTAGTCTTGGCCTGAATATCTCGGTGGACACCTCTCTGCCTATGATACGGAACTGAATCATACGAGGAGAATCAGTTCCGCCGAGATCGTCGATTATTTTTTGTTGACAAGTCCTGGGTTGTAATAAGAGATATTGAAAATCATACAAGGAAATTCGTAATAAAAGATACTACTTGTGGACAGTTTTTTTCTGCTATCAGGCAGCGTTTGCTTCTGCACAGATAAAGCAAATTTAATATACAGAAATGACGCAAAATCGTATTCATACAGCGTACATTTTTGATTGACTCGATGGATAAATTTTTATTGAGAACAAATGACTTGACTGGGAAAATACACTTTTTTTAAAAACCAGTATTAATTAATTGAAAAACATTGTAGTTATTAAGAAATATTTTGGTTCTGAAGCTAAAGAAAACCACCAAATAACATAATTTCGTATTTACAGATATAAAAAATCAACCATAGATTCGTAGTGATTTTTTGTTCTTTATGGAAAGAATTATTGCTTTTCAATTAACGTCCCTCGAATTCGCCTTTGTTGAGCCTCTTCATTGGCCTGTTAAATAAACATAGAATTGATGAGTTCACATCGAACTGTAATAAGTTTTCTGATAATTATTTTGAACTTGTGTATTATTATTGTTAATACTCATGTACAATAAAAATTTATTACATAGGTTGGCAAGCCAAATGAAAAGTTTCATGATAACTAAAGTAGTTAATTATCTGTAACATAGATAACATACTACCATTATTATATAATTGCCTTAATGGCAAGTATGTTGTGACTTTAAAAATCATAAACTTGAGAATTATATCTTTACAACATTGAACATGATAAGTGAAGCGAAATTCTATGTGCCCTGTTCTATATAGTCCATAGTAATATTCAAATCACAGAGATGTTCCTTAATTTTTAATCAATGACGCAACAGTGAAGTCAACACTAATTTACTTGTAAAAAAGTATTATCATTTGTTATTAAACGTTAGTGAATAATTTTAACTTCCAAACATAAAAAAAAGGCGAGGGCCCATAAATATTATATTAAACCTCTCTGACAATCATATATGGCAATGACGTTGATTGTATACAACTTGTGGAAATGAAAATTCATAATGTACTATTTGGAATTCACCTAATTCACATCAAGTACGGTTTTGACTGGAGCCCCAGCTAGTTAGGAGTTGCAAAAGATGAACTTGAATTTAGAGTTATTTATTTTTATTTATTCTAACACATAGATATTGGTACAAGGAGGCACCAAATACATATGCGCCACACAAATCTCATTTGATATGTGTGAAGGCTGTGATACTGCCCGGGTGCCCAAACCGAAACAGATGGTTTTCTTAGGGGGCCACACCCGGAGCCTTCGACATGAACGTCTGATCCACAAAGCAGTGGAGCAACGTAAGGAGATGCAGTCTCATGGTAGCCGGTGACCAACAATTGGTTCATACGCCATTTGTTCCTTTAAGATACTGGAGCCCATGTGCACTATTGGTTTGGAATCAGGGTTTTCCAACTCCCCTAGATGGACTCTCCATGTCCACCAACGCGACTAAAGCGCCGGACATTCGCTTTTCGTCCTCTCAATTTTGTAAACAACACCCCCGTCACGAGCAGGCAGTGAGTAAGACTTCCCTAGCAAAGGCTATATACGCGTGGCCATGTGAGAGCATTTCGAGAGGGAGAAAGGACTCTGACCACTCTCGGCCGTACCAGGGCATTTGGGGGCGACTCTTAAGTAGTTAATGATAAATAGTACTCTTAAGATTATTTATTTAATTCTCTAAGGAAAAAATATTAAATTAAATATCCATTAATAGACTTTTAACAGTAAAATAAAATGCCCATCTAAAAAATGGTATATGACTGCGTAAATCTATTTACCTCATCAACCAAACGGCGTTTTATGATGCCACGTCGAATCATTTCTTGTTCAATGACACGAGCATTGGCTGCATACGAATCTGCTATTTCTTTTGCTTCGGCTTCCTCTTCTTCATCTTCAATAGTAGAAACAGTGACAGCGGTATCAATGCCTTGAGTAGTTTCTTGTTGTTGAACACTTCGACGCAATGGGGCGTTATTCGAGGCTTCACTTTGCTGTAGGGCAGCCGCTTCAGCAGCTAATGCTTCGAGTAATCTGGCATTAGCAGAGCTTTCATCAATATGCTTCGCAGCAGTTGGTCGTTTCGGACATAACATAGATGCAGATAATGCAGCTTGGTCATCTTGAAGTTTTAATGCATTCTTTATAATAAATTCAGTCTAGTTAAATGAAAAAAACGTATACCACGTGATTAGTCGTAATAATAAGACAGTGGATGATTGAGCTTTCTTTATTTGAATAGTAACACGATAAATGCAAGTATCATTTAGTAGTATAAAGGGTTACCTAGCAACCTTTGGATTACGACGTTTCAGACCACTTCACTCACTTGAAATTCGAAATCAGGTAGAATTTTCCATCATCACATGTAAGTGTACGTATTATCAAATGGGAAAGTAATTTTAGAATCGACAGATTGATAAAAAATTAGCTACTTATCATACCCATAGATCATAAAGTATTTAATACCACGAGTAATACCTGCTACCATTTTTTTATGTCAAATATCCATAAATTATAATGTAAACATGATTGACAGTAAAGTGAATTATTGCTTATATACGTTTAAGTGAAGTGGTTTTAATAAAAATGAAAAATAACACATTAACTCACAAAACAAATTACATCTTAATGTGAGTTGAATGACGGGTTTAAAACTACAAAAACATGATTTTCCGGATTCGGGGAAAGGTCTCGATCATGATATGTAAAAGCTGCCCATATTATCACTTTCCTATCAATGTAACTCGATAAGTGGTTGCAGATTCGTGTTTCCGGAGCTGAGTTGTATGTAGATATGTGTAATTTATTAGTGATCTCATGCTACAAACATAAGAATGTTTTAACCCCTTAAATAATGAATGCAGTTAGCAATTAAAGAATTTTTATAAGTTTTGTTAACTGGGAGTATATCTTTAAAAACATGACGGAAAGCAAGTGTATTAGCATCTGGCTTGTCAGGTTCGCCTGTTAGTTTTTCACTTCCTTACAATCACTGAGCACTTTGATGACAAATATATTTGAGTTTTATGGCACAAGGTACTTAACTACGTTTATTCACTTCGGTATTGATTTATAAGGAAAATCTGATTTCAGAACCTTAGAATGCATCTGAGTTTTTCTTGGTGGTTAGCTATCACTCCGATAAGGCAATGTAGTCTATGAAGGGTTTATGCAAGACTTTGATAAATAATTTTTATCCATGATAGACTTTAGATTTATTATAAGGCAGAGTCAGCTCTCTTTAGAAATGCTCTCACATAACTACGTACATAAAACCACTGTCAAGGAAGTACTACTCCCTGCCTTCTCAAGACGTTACTGTTGTTTATGAAATCGAGTGGACGAAAAGTGAGTGTCCGGCGCATTAACCGGGTTGGTTGATACGGAGGACGCACCTAGAGTCAGTCAGTCAGCTACAACTTAGGACCAGGCACATATATGCATCGGTCCAAGTTACCACACATCATTAACACAACAAGATGGACACCGGATTCATAAAAGTAGTTAATTCAGAGGTGGTAATATATAAAAGAAAGATTGCATGTAAGGACATAGTACGGGAAGAAAGAATTAGTTCGTAGAAAGAAAGATATGAAGCGATTTTAATCTATTAGTTTGAGGGAAGACAGAGAGTGTATACACCAACGCCATTGTGACCGATTCTGAGCCATGTCACCAAGAGTCTCCAACCATTGGTTACGATAGTCACGCGGACCCCAACCAACTAGTCTGCATCTACCAACATGGCTCAGACTAGAAGTTAGTGACTTTAAGCACTTATACCACGTTTTGGTTTGGCCGCCCCTAACTTTCCTCCAACCATCCCCAACACCAGTTAGCATTGCACGTCATGGTAATCGATGTTCGAGCATACGTACCACGTGGCCCAACCATCTCAGTCGATGAAGATTCACAACCTCATCAACTGATTTACCATCATTCCCTAATACCCTGCGTCTAACCTCACTATTACTTACCCGGTGATCCCAGCAGACGCCAGCAATATTTCTAAGGCATCTGTGGTCAAATACTAGTAGCTTATGAGTAACTTCTAACGTTAACGGCCACGTTTCGCAGCCGTAAATTAGAATAAAACGAACTGCTCAGCAGTATACTAGTCCATTACTTAATTGATAGACAGATATCTCGCCTTCCTCATAGGTGACGTAAGTTGGCAAAAGCCAAACGACATTAGGGCTGATCGGACTTCCAACATAAGTGAAGTTGTCAGCGCGTTCGACTACTTCACTCCCTATCCTTAGTTCAGGTGTTGACGCAGACCAGTCCTGAAGCGACAACTTGCATTTATAGGGAGAGAAGCGCATTCCAAACATCCTGGCATTGTTGCATAGTGCTACAAAAGACTCTGCATTCTATCAGCGTCTTCACCAAACAGGACTATATCATCTGCGTATTACATTCAATTCCCAGATTTGAGTTAAAACATTAGTCAATCTGATCGCTAAAATTTGACCACCATACATCAAGACATCTGGAGCCAATCCATCACTACCAGTTGCTCTTCCTCGTTTCAGATTAACTATAGCCTTCTGGACTTCTGCTAGAATTGGGGGACGTACTTCAATGTTCCATTCACACTGTCTGGGAATGGAGGGTAGTTGTAGAGTAGCTGGAGGCCAGCAGAACTGTTCTCTGAAATGTTCCGCCCATCGTTCTAAACGTCTGGACTGAGAGCAGATGAGGGTGTCGTCTTTTTCCGAGATAGTCTCACTTACACATGACTTATTAATTCCAGTTTCTTTTATTAGTCTGTAGAGCTGTCTTGTGTTCCCTATAGCCGCCGCCTTTTCCATCTCTTTTGCTTTCGTTGGCCACCACTGATCACGGTCGTTCCTTAAACTTTTGTTTAACGTAGATCTGATCTGTTGTCGCTCTTCGTCGTTTCCAGAGCCATGTTAGGCGATGTCTCCCCTGATGCTTAAAATTTGTGTTTGCTAAAAATAAACGATTGTCTGAGCACAGTTGCAGCAGACGATCACCACTATTTGTTCGCTGAGCCGGAATACCAAAATACCCACCTACATGTCTTTCTGTTTGGTTTAATCTACCTACCTCGGCATTAAAGTCACCTGCTACAAGTACTATATCTGAACGTTGAGCTTTCTGTAAAATTCATCTTTCATCTCATCTGAGCTGGAGTCGGTGGGAGCGTAGGCAAAAACGACAAAAAGGCAACGACGTGTATCCCTATCCTTCCGAGGTCTTACGGAGCCGTTTAGCCGAACAAAACATAAACGACTGTTAACGGGGATCCACTCTAACAGTGCTTGTTCCGCCTTCATGCTTAGTGCTATCCCTACTCCTTCCAGTCCACGAGAGCTGGCCGTCAGGTCACCAGATACACGGAGGGTGTGTCTCGTTGGCTCTCCGTTTCGCCAAGGTGAGGTCAAGTGAATGACCACACTGGGATCCTATATGCGTGTTTCAGAGACACAGCATACATCAATGGTACGAGATTCTAGGGTTTTAGCCAAGGAAGCCTGTTGACCGATTTGACATAGGGTGCGTACATTGAAGGCTCCAATGTGTAGTTTGCAGCGAAGTTTCAGTAGACCTGGGAGTGTTTTGCGCACTGGAATCGTTGGCTATGATGACACTTGAAGGAGAAGCCGAAAAAGGAAGTTTAGAGGTGAAAGTCGATGTAGGAGGAATAATAGGAAGTGAAGACGGAGATTGATTATGAATACAATGGTCTTGAGCACTGTTAGAGGTATGAGGGCGGTTATCACTTCCCGGTTGCCCACACCGTGGAAGGGTTCTTCTGGAGGTACCTGAAAAGAAAATTGGATTAGAGGTGGTCTTAGTGACCTGGGAGCGTGAACGCAGTGCCCAAGGGACAACTGCTTGAGGTCGGTCACACACGACCTTTTTATGGGTAATTTTTGTGTTATCTCCGTACTTGTTGAGACCCTACCGGCGGAGACGGATGTCCGTGTGATAAGACGAGGTGTGCATGTTTAGGGTCGACCTTTTCTAACCCCATCGCTCCTTGTGAGAAGGCAGCATCGCTGTCATACTGGTTGTCTGAAGGAAACACCTTACTGCTGCCACACCTCTGTACAGTCAGCAGTACGACTTCGCCTTCGGACCTTGGGTTTGTTGCTTTTAGTCTTACCGCTCTTCAACCGACCTGTCTGACATGGTAGGACCTTGAGGAACGGTTGTTCCAGCGAGTATAACTAGTTGCTTCATCACGATAGGCAAGCCCGACCACCACGTCAAGGTAGCAACAACAGTCTAGAGGAGTTGGAAAACCCTGATTCCAAACCAATGGTGTACATGATCTCCATGATCCTAAGGAAACAAATAGCGCATTAACCTATTGTTAATTACTGGCTACCATGAGACTGCAATTTCATACGTTACTCCACCGCCTTGTAGATTAAACCTTCAGGTCAAACGCTCGGGGATGAGCCTCCTAAGAAAACCACTTGTTTCGGCTTGGCCACCCGGGGAGTATCCCAGTCCTCACATAAATCGAATGATTTATGTGGCGCATATCTATTTGGCGCCTCCTTGTACCAATGTACAAGTGTTTAAATAAATAAATAAATAATACTGTGGGACCTATATGGACTGAGCATCAACGATCCTGTACGCGGAAACCCTTGGAGTTCTAGTGAGCAGCCGTGATCAGTGGACTTAAACTGTGTCGCGTGAGGCAGTTGCTCACCGAAGACAGTGGAAGGTCATCGTGGAGTGTGGTGGATTGATTGAAGTTATACATCAACACCGTTGGATGCCCACTTAGTGGTTTAGAGGTCGAAGGTCCTGGGTTCGACGCCCGCGTGTGGAATCGTTGGTGCACACCTCTGAGGAGTCCCACACAAGGACGAAACGGTTCCCTGATGATTTCAAGTTTTCAATAGTAGTTTGTCTAGCTAAGATAAATTCCTAATTTGAACCGTGAGAATATTTTATATTTATCGAAAATTACCGTTGAATTTTCTGCACTGTGACGATAAAAGATTGGTAATCCACAGCTTTTGCAATACCTGCGGAACTGCTTCTCTATTCCATTTGGCCAACGTATATAAATTGGAGTGAGTGGATTAACAGCCGTAGCTGTTGTTTTATGAGCACGTTTGGATCCATCAATAACTCTAGCGTCATCTCTAGGACGCCTTGGTAGTTTCTCAACTAGACAGTCAATTATCAGTGACATTTGACCACAGATACATGAATAGACAAACAGTGGTTTCTCACTTCCGTAATTATGCCGTGGCCTCGAATCAGTTACAATATGTGTTGCTCGTTTGCGAACGCGTGGTTTATGATCTTTGCTCATATTTCAATTCGAAAATGATCTGGAAAAAATAAGTAAGTCTTACCACAATTAAAAAGCGGAAAATTCACCAAAACGTTTATCTTAAAAACATTCAGTATAAACGAATATCAAACCAAATAGAGTCTGAGAAATGGGTTTAGTATATTAACCCCCTGAAAATCTATTTTATTCTCCTCCTTCATTGCTAGACTACTAATTAAAACAATGCCTGACTTTATGTATATAGGCGCAAATATCGAGAGGTTTCTTTGAGAAAAGTACGTACCTGTCAAGGCGCCGGCTAAGCTTGACTTTTAAGTGATTATGAAGTACTTAATTAACCACGAGTCTGAATCACTGAGTATGTAGTAGATAAGTTTAGAAACTGCTTTGTTAAGCAGCTATTCTGTGGGGACTAACATTAACACCGAAGTAACTGGAATGTGTCTGGAAACTCATTTGTGGCTAATAAAGTGACGCATCAACTGATAGCACTATTTCACTAATGCAGGTTGGTATTAAAAAATACAGCCGATACAAATAAGTGTCCACTACCTGATATTCCTGAATCAGACGAAATCAGAAAGTCCTTAGACAGAACAAACAAAAGTATTTTGTTTAGTTAAACCATTATTTAACCTAATTATTTTATTACAGCTCAACGAATTATATGGGAAAAATTCCTTTTTACGGGTTATATGATATGTTCAGCTCGCAGCTCTAACAACAACAAGCAAACAAAAAAGGGGAATAAAGGCGAACTTTGGGGAAAATCCTTACGATAAGTCGGTGTGAATATATGCGACAATGAATCAAATTACCACTTTTCCGCAGCCCGGAGTAAATGATGCTGATTTTCTCCAAAATTAACTCGTAACTAACACTTTTAACTTCCTCAAAACTAACACCAATTTGTTCATTTTTATCAAGAATAAACACGTTAAACAGTTAACATTTTGCAAAACTCAACAAATCACTTTTGTACCGTTCAAATACTTCGGGAACTCCCTTTTAATTCCCAAGAGCAACCGAACTATCTGAGCACCCAACATAAAAAAGTGGTTTATATGAAGACGATTCATCAACAAATTCTACACAAAGTTGTCGATAATGCTAAAATATTACGTGCGTGACCGGTCACACTCCCAGGTCACTAAGCTAATCGCCAACTCAGCCTTGTTTTCAGGTCTCAAGAGGGAATACCCTTCCACGGTATGAACAGCTGGGAAGTAACAACTACCCGTATACGCTTGTCAGCGCCTGAGGTCATCTTGTTCACGACAAAACCCCTCACTCAACTCGTAATAATTCTCCCATCCCTACAATCAGTCCTTCTGGCATATCATCACACCCCACCAATGCTAATGATTTGCACTTGAGAAGTGTTATTTCTGGTTTCCTGAAACTACTCTCTAAACTACATATTATAGCTTTTAATGTTCGAAATTTGTGTCGAATAAAGCAACAGACTTTCTTAGCTAGGACTCTACAATCTCACGCTATCAACGTAGGCTGCGTCTTCGAAACGCAAATATAGGATCCAAGTACAGCCATTCATATGACCTCACCACGTCAAACATAAGTAACCAGCACGAATTACAATTCGAGTATCTGGAAACCCCACTGCTACTTCTCTTGACCTCGCTGGTGTTAAGTTTAAAAGCAGAAGTGTCCGTTAGGCTGGATCCCAATAAACAGTCGTCTGTGAGGGACAATAAGAAATCGAAAAAATAGCACACATTGTTGCATATTCTTTGCCTCTGCCTACGCTCCCGATGATTGCAGTTCGCATAAAGTCAAAGATGAATTTCGTAGGAAGCTATCCAACCTCTTTCAAAAAGCTGAAGGCTATGATATAGTAATGGTGAGAGGTGATTTTAATGCTCAAGTAGGCAAACTAAACCAAACCGAAAGGCGCTTGTGAGGGTCTTACGGCTTGGTGAACAGATAATGGGGACTGTCTATTTCAAGCAGGACTGGTCTGCGTCAACACCTGAACTAAGGATAGGGAGTGAAGTAGTCGAACGGGTTGATAACTTCACTTATCTTGGAAGTCTGATCAGCCCTAATGGGTTGGTATCGGACGAAATCTCAGCACGGATTCGAAAAGCTCGTTTGGCTTTTGCCAACTTGCGTCACCTTTGGCGAAGGCGAGATATCTGTCTATCAATAAAAGGACGAGTATACTGCGCGGCAGTTCGTTCTGTTTTAATTTACGGCAGCGAAACATGGCCCTTAATAGTAGAAGACACCCGTAAGCTACTAGTATTTGACCACAGATGCCTTAGAAATATTGCTGGCATCTGTTGGGATCACCGGGTAAGTAATAGTGAGGTTAGACGCAGGGTATTAGGGAATGATGGTAAATCAGTTGATGGGGTTATGAATCTTCATCGACTGAGATGGTTGGGCCACGTATTACGTATGCCTGAACACCGATTACCACGACGTGCAATGCTAACCGGGGTAGGGGATGGTTGGAAGAAAGTTAGGGGCGGCCAAACCAAAACGTGGCATCAGTGCTTGAAGTCACTAACTTCTAGTCTGAGCCACGTTGGTAGATGCAGACTACTTGGTTGGGGTCCGCGTGACTTTCGTAATCAATGGTTGGAGACTCTTGGTGACATGGCTCAGAATCGATCACAGTGGCGTCGGTGTATACACTCCCTGTCTTCCCTTAAACTAAGAGACTAAAATCACTTCATTCTTTCTGTCTACGAACTAATTCTTTCTTCCTATACTATATCCTAATTGCAACCTTTGACCTAACCACTCCTATGAATCCGGTGTTCATCTTGCTGTGCTAATGAGGTATGGCAACCTGGACCGATGCACATATGTGCCTGGTTCTACGTTGTAGCTGACTGACTGACTGACTGTAAGGTAGGATATCATCTGAAGTTGCGACTCCCATAATCGACTCAACGATGGACCATCGTTGGAGAGTTTCGATTAAAGACTGGCGCTTATTCTGGAGGAAATGTTTAGACTCTAATCATACTCTCGTACGAGTACTTATACGTCTGTCTTACTGAAAATAAAAAACCACAGCAAGAAAAGTCAACGAAAAAGTCAAGAATGTATTTTCGACGTCCAGCATATCGTCTCATATTTGCAGGCAATTCGACCACATCCAAGGACAGCTTCGCCATGTTATTATCTCTGATAATCTGTGAAACTAAATTCAGTCTCATACTAAACTTACTCGTCCTAGATTGCATCGTTATTAGGTATCGAAGCACTGGCTGATGGAAATGACACTACTTTGGTTAGGCTTATTTAAACACATTTGAATCGATAACATACTTGGTAACTGGGAAGGTGGGAGTTTCGTGGTTTAAATTTGGGATATTTTGCCTAGCTTTATCCATCTTGCATTTCTGAGAAACCCAAGTCGACAGAATCATCTAGGTGGTTTGACTTTCGTTCTAAAACTTCTCTGCCAACAATGATAGGTAATGACGCCCAACCCGTTTTAGTTTATCGTTCTGGAGTATTTATTCCAGTCTGGGAAAAAGGTAATAATTTGATACATTGTTGCGTATATTCACACCGATCTCTCAAAAAGACATTTCCCTGAAGTTCGCCTTTGTTTCCCTTTTATTATTTGCGTTGTAGGATGATCCTACCAACAATGCGAACCTTAAGGGCTGAATGGACGAAGTATGGGTGATATGAAGAAACGAAAACTATCGACCTTTGTTCGTGCAACCATCCCCCTAATTTTAAGTAGAAACCATGCAGCCACTAGTTTTCTGACTCTAGTAACTGTCACCTATTGCTGAGTAAATTTAGGTTTTAACGGTAATGCAACATACTATTGAATCAAGCATTATACTACGAGTAAGGATAAAAGACTGGGTTCACTAAAGTATTAGTTAATCAGTAACTGGGATTGTCGTTTGAAAAACATCAGAAATTTGCACAAGGGAGAGCTTCAAATTTTCTGATGTAATGACATGACTGACCTTCAGAGTTTAGTGTCCTTATGAGTACATCGTTACAGCTTACAACAGACCAATACATGGTTATTCTATCTTAATTCCTACATCGAGAGAAATGATTCAAAATGTTACAGAAAAGATAGCACAAATATACATATATAGGCACATACCGTACACTGACAAATTAAATTAGTGATGTAAAGGTTTGATAAAAACTCAGTTCAGTATAAAGAAGCAATGGGCGAGACTCTAATTTAGGGACGAGCCAATCAGAAGCCTTTGAGCAATTTCAAGGTCACGGAGCCAAGTTCAACACGCGCCGCTAACATACGATCGGTTCACAGCGGATTTTAGAGAGGAGGTGATTAATGAGAGGTTACAACAGTTGAGTATGTAACTTAGTTGGTCGATTGCTCCAGCTTGTTCACTCTAATTCGGCAAATCACTGCAAACTTTTGGGAATTTGAGGTGATATTCAGCAAAACGTCTAGGGCGATATAGCGTTTCTAACACATCGGTTGGCCAGTGTCTCAACCGATTGAAGCACTCAAAAAATCACTGATCGATAATGAATAAAATCTTATATTTATCTCTACTATAGAACACTATGTTCCACAGAAACGGCTGCACCGTTTAGAAACATTAAGCAAACTAAGTACTTATAGGCAAAAAGGAATATGTATTCGTACCCTGCCTCAAAAACTTGTAACCTCAGTAACCGTACAGATGAGATTGCTACAAACTGTATCTGTATTACCGACTTCCAATGGATGGAATAAATCGTAGGTAACACACTAAAAACAAGAGCGACATGTGGATCTCAGGAAATCTTCAGAAAGCATCCAAAGAACCCGATCACACTGTACACACCAAAGTCAAACGGCGGCAAAATTACTGGTGCGTTCAAACAGTTCGAACGGTTCTTGACGGAATGTAAGAAGCTTTCACTTAACATGATTATGCGTCTAGTAGCAGTGGATCACCGATGCCTCCAAGTAGGAACTTAAACATATTCAATGGTTCAAATGGTTGTGGACGGAATAGAAGAAGCTTTCGCTTAACAGGCTTCCGTGTCTAGTAGCAGGGGATCATCAAATCCTCCAGGCAGGAACCTAGGTATGTTAACAATAAAAGAGGAAAAGAAATTGGCAAATCATAGTGTGATGCTGTCCTTGATCCTTAAGAATAGGTCAAGTTGCCTCTTGAAGGACTCCTGAGAAGTCGCTAGGACTAGCTCGACCGGCAGCGAATTCCAGATTTTGACAACTCTTAAGGAGTAGAAGTTGTTTCTACATTCCGTCTTGCTATGTTGTGTTTCCAGTTTCTGGGTGTTACCCCTTAGGTTATTATTCGAACTAAGCTTAAGTAGGTGTTTAAGAGGATGTCCAGAAGTGTTAAGAATACTATAAACCATTAATAAATCACCTCGAAGACGCCTATACTCTAATGGGTAAAGGTCTAGTGACTGGAGGCGTTCTTCGTAAGGTTTAGATTTGAGTCCTCGAACTGATTTCGTGGCTCGACGTTGGATACGCTCCAAAGTGACCTTGTCCTTTTGGAGTGAGGGAGGGTGTACTATGTTTCGTACTGTAAATAGGGACGGATGAAACTATTGAAGATTGTATGGAAAGTTCGTCCGTCAAACTGTCCAAAAATGCGCTTCAACGTTACCAGTGCAAGGTTTGCTCGGAAGGCGTTTTTGTCACAGTTAGCGTAAGACTTTAAATCATGGGGCACCAGGACTCCTAAATCTTTTTTCGACTTGGGATACTACTAAAGAGGAGTTTCCTAAGTTGTAACTGTAGTTTGCAATATGTTGCAGATGGACTACTTTACACTTTGAAGTTTTAAAGGTAAGTCCGTTATCGTCTGCCCAACTTTGAAATCGAGTCAGATCCTCCTGAAGTGCCTCTATATGGTCTTCGTTGCGTATCTCTCTCCAAAGTTTCACGTCGTCGGCAAAAAGTAATGTTTGACGTTACCTGTTGAGGAAGATCATTTATGTAGATCAAGAAGAGAAGAGGCCCTAGTACTGAGCCCTGGGGGGAGCCACCAGGACATTCCATAGCCTGAGATAAAGTGAAATTAACCCTAACCTTAAAGTGTCGATTATTTAGGCATGAAGTAAGCCAATCGATTAGAGGTGGTTTGATACCTAGTCGTTTGAGCTTATTCGTAAGACACAATTGGTTAACCTTATCAAAAGCTTTTGAGAAATCAAGGTAAATGATATCAACCTTTCCCTTGCGATCGAGGATGCTTGTCCATCTGTCAACCGCAGTCAGCAGGTTGGTTATACAAGAGTAACCCTTCCTGAAACCATGCTGTTGGGGTGAGAAGAAATTTAAGGACAGTAGATAGTCATTTAAACCGTCGCATATCAGGGACTCCATGAGTTTTGAAGGTAATGACAGAAGAGCCACCGGCCGATAACTTGAAGGTTCATTGCGTCGACCTCCTTTGAAAATTGGTGTGATGTGAGCCAACTTCCAATTTTCCGGTAGTTTGCCTCGGCTTAGCGAGTGTGAAAACATCACGCTAAGCGGCGTAGCCAGGATTGAGACTGCCTCCCTCAGTATGGCAGGATGAACCATATCCGGGCCAGGAGAAGTATCTAATCTTAAGTGCTGCAGTTTCTGGAACACCAAGTCAGCGCTTAGGTCTACTTCGGAAAGTCCTGTGGAATTGCAGATGAAACTGTCGTCAGTAAAGTTGATGTCAGCCGGTTGAAATGTTTGAGAGTAATGTGCCACCAGAAGGTCAGCGGCGTCGCCATCGTTGTTGGTCGGGTTGTTGAGACCTAGCAGTTGGGAAACTCCAGTTTTGGCTTGACGAAGAGAGGCTGCATAGCGGAATAGGCTTCTAGGGTTAGAGGCAAATTTTTCCATAAGCTTTGTCTGGTACTGAAGCCTGTCTTCTCTTATAGCTTTCGTGCATATGTTCCTTATATGTTTATATTGCCTGTACGCTCCATCGTTATTAGTTCGTTTGTATTCTGCCCAACAGTGCCTTTTGCGGCTTAGCAGGCGAAGGGTACGGTTCTTGATCACTGTAGGAGGCTTGCAGCTTTTGGGAACCGTTTGAGGAACTGAGTGGTTTGTAGTACATAGGAGCGTGTGCAGTAGGAAGTCCCAATGACCGTCTACGTCGAGTTGAGGGTGAACATCCCGAACCACCTGTTGTAGATAGTCATGTAGAGCTGGCACATTCAGCCGTTTAAAATTCCAACGCAAATTATTGTTGGGATACCTTGGCTTAGTTTTGATGACAAAACTGAAGGCTATGACGGCATGATCGCTCTTTCCCAGAGGAGCCAAGATTGAGAGGTTGTCAACTAGGAATTCTTCGTTAGTGAATGCACAGTCTAAGCGCGATGGTGCCTGACTGTTTCTCCAACGAGTTACCGACCTCACATTTTCATATAAGCCCAAGTCATCGATGAGGTTGAAGAACCGAGCTTCAATTGGGTTGTCGCCTCCAGTGTACGTGTGTTCCGCGAAGTTGACTCTAGGGAGATTAAAGTCCCCTAGAATCAGGATGTGTATGAAACCGAGACGGGTGGAGCGGGATAGTCCTTCCAGCATACGACTATCGTACTCGATGTCGGCAGTTGGCTTCCTGTAAATGACTCCGACTAGACACCTCGAAGTACTGGACAATCTTACAGGGCACCATATGGATTCCTCAAGATTGTTAAACTCGAGGTTGTGAACTTGGTGCACCTCCAAGCAAGAGCTTATGTATATGGCTACTCCGCCCCCAATTCCTGTTTATCTGTCGTTGCGGAACAAAGTCATCCCAGGTAATGCTAACTCTTGGTCCGAGAACTGAGAAGATATCCTGGTTTCAGATATTCCTATCAGATGGGCTTTATTAGCGTTGCTAAGTTCACGTAAATCATCCAGTTTGTTTGGTAGACTAGCGGCGTTCATATATAAGCAGTTTATGCTTTCAATTTGGAACGCGTGAGCTTCGTCCTGTTTTTCTGTATGAGCCTTATGTGAATGGACAAGTAGCCCACCTATATGAGGTTTGCCGAGGTGGTAGGCCCTGTCCTTTACACGTTTTTTTATCATTTAGACAGTCCACAAGTGGAATGGTCAGCTCCAACTTGCTATTGTGTTTGGTCCTAGCTTCATATGGTGAAAGAGAAATAGCAAATAGTAAAGCATAGCGTGGTACTGTCCTTAGTCCTTAAGAATATGTCAAGTTTCTTCAGAAAGGACTCCTGCGAAGTCGTTAGAATTGGCTCACTCGACAGTGGGTTCTAGTAAAAGCTGTGTCCTCAGTCCGTTCTGCTGTGTTGTGTCGCTAACTTCTGGGTGTTATCCCTAAGGTTTGTATTTGGACTGAACTTAAGTAGGTATTTAATGGGATGCACATGATTGTTTATGACGCTCTAATTCATTCAAAAATCACTTCTAAGACGCTTTTACTCTGATGGATGGGGATTCAATGATTTTTGATGCTCTTCATAAGGCTTCAACTTGAGTCCCCGAACCGATTTCGTGGCTTGTCTCTGTATCCGTTCCAATATATTCTTATCCCCTTTGAAGTAAGGGAGGAAATATTGTGTTTCCTTACTCTAAATGGAGCCGAATAAAACTACTGAATATTAGACGTAAAGTTCTACCGGCGAACTGGCCAAAAATGTGCTTCAACGTCCTCGGTGCAGGGTTTGCTCGAAAGGTATTTTTGTCACGGTCCACGTAAGACTTCAGATCATAGGGTACCAACAGTCATAAGTCCTCAGATTAGAGTTACCTGTTTGTCTTCACCTCCATTTGTTGATGTATATGAGATATAAGGACTAGGTCATCTATGAAGTCCAAACTGTCTAGTTGCATTCAACCTGTCCATTTTATTCCGTGCTTTTCGTTATATGTAGAGGTCTTCATAATCCAGTCAACTATCGGAAGAAAGAGAAAGTGTGGTGGCCGGTATTCTATATAATCCTTAAACTTCGTATGCAGTTAGTCTTGATAACCGTCACTAGATAACGTCTCAACTGTTTATTGATCAGAAGGCGGATACGAAGTGTTGATTACGTTTATTATGGGACCACACATAGATATCCAATTAATAGGTACGTTAAGCATGCATGAAAGAGTAGTACCGAAAAGCTAGTAGGCAAGCAAGCGAGCTAGTCAGCGAATACGATTATGTGTAAACGAGTACAATGAACATGAATAAAATGTACATATACATATATAGTGAATTGAAAGAATCATTGAATCAATTAAGCGGTTAATAGTAAGGCTAACAGAGTGAATATATGCTTAGGCAGTAAACAGTGCTCAAGCATACATACTTATACAAGTGTAATTATAGTAAAGGTACAATGATATAGATAAGCGGTTATTGTACGAGTGACTCTGTCCGTCAAATAAGCTAACAGAAAGGGCTTAACCAAATTAAATCTAAACATACTCAACTTCACGTGAGCTACTATAAAAGTGGAAGAGTAAGTAGCCTTGTCTGACTCTGAACCTCACTTGGAATGCGTCTGCACCTGTTCTCCATGCACCGCTTTACACTTTGGTCCGTCGTACGAATTCCGTATAATGTTGACTATTTCCTAACCCACTCACTCAGTTGCGTCGAAGAAGATTCCGTAAGGTTTTCCTATCCACACTGTCACAAGCTTTCTCATAACCAAGGAAACTGATGTATAGCGACGAAGTCCATCCAATGGATTGTTCAATGATGAGCTGTAGTGTAGCGAATTGGTTTCCCACATTTTACAGACGTTCCATATACCTATAAAAATTGTTGTTCTGGATATTTGAAGGGACAATGGCTCCGTGACTCCCAAAGAATCTCGGATTTCACCCTGAAGCGTCATAATTATTCCTTCACTTTAACGGACACAGTCTAAATTGTTTAATTGGTTTAATCTGGTTGACGTTTTTTCGCAAGATATTTTCTAAGGGATGGTGTTGGTGACTTCACGCTCAACCTTCCTCTTCTGCCCGAGCATGGAACCGGCGGTAGTCCCAGAAGAACTACAGGCGGAGC